TGAAGCAGCTATAAACCTTGCAGCAAGCCTGAGGCAGCTATAAACCTGACGGTGCTTTTAAACCTCCAAGAGCACCCTGCTGCCAGCTTTGCAAAAGCAGGCTGAGGCTCCACATGAAGGAATCGTTCAGATGCGTACTACAAACACAGCTGAACTGAGATGTGCATGCATGGTGAGGATGTGACGGTGATGAACTGCACGTACCTGGTACCCAGGAATGGACCTTACCGCCTCCACGACAGCCAGAGACATCAGATGCTGGACAAACGGAATCCTCTGTCCCAGCTGGGATCTCAGTGGGATGGAGACGAGCAGGGTAGAAAGAGCGCACCCCACGGGGCTCAGCCAAGCATTCCTTCCCCGCCCTGGAACACAAGCGCCATCAGGAAACCGGCCATTCTGCACCATGAACAGACTCAGATGCACATAACGCCAGAAAAACTGCTGAGGCCTCAGAGCCACACACTGAAGACCTGTCCCACCTGAATGGCTGACGAACATACTTGGTTATTCCGGGGTTAACTCAACACAGAGAAGCTTCTTAAAATCCGAAGCTCTGTTGCTGAACAAGTTTCCAATAATTAGCATAACGTCCTCCCTCTGTGAGCATATCATTTATACTTTGATGATAAAGTCTTACACAGTGTCTGAACATCACTCTCAGTTTAATTCTCACCATATGGCAATGCGCAGGTGAAAACAGAGACAGTGGGGAAACCGGACCGAATCTATACTGGTCCAGGAGAGGTCCTGGAAGCCATTTGCTAGAAGTGATCCCTACTGCGATGGTCCCATAACGCTGTGAATACATTAAAAACCACAGAATAGTACACTTTAAAGTAGGAGACTGTATGGTATGTGAATTATATCTTGCTGTTTTTTTTTTTTTAAAGGAAGCTGAATTTGAAAAATGATCCCTGATATTAACTCTCTGAGTTATTTTTCTTAAAAACTACAAGTCAAGAAAATAACATAATCAAAACGAGAGGTATAATCAAACTTCTTCCATGTCTTTTTTTAAACCACCTTATTGAGCACCACAGCCTTGAATAAAATAAATTTTTTTCCTCTCTTTATGTTCAAAAGACATGCTCAAGAGAAAGAAGTGAAAACAGTGGATTTCTTATTTCATTGCTTCTTCTGAGAAAGGCATAAGAGCCTCTGAGAGTTAAAAGGACGCTTGGGTCGGCCTGCTGCCAGCTGGGGGTGGGGAGAGACAGGGGCCAATCGCTCCCCGTATGACCACTGAACACGAATCTGCTTGCGGCTGGACCCCAGATGGATTCTGGGAGGATGTGGGCTCTTGCCTCCGAGAGTCAGCAGGTGTTGGAAGCTCTGGGCAGCCCTTGGCTTCTTTGTGGTCATTCTGTGAATATGCATTGATCGTTGATCGAGTGTCCACTCCGTGCAAATTCCAGTGCCAGCTGGCAGACGAAAGACCCCTCCATGTGACCCTTGGTATAGACACAGAAGGCACCTCACAGAGAACCTTCAGGAAAATAAACGTCTCTATAACATAGTAATTATTCACACACTGCAATGCCTAGAATGTGTCAGAAAGAAGAATTTACAAGACGTAGGCAAATGAACATTAAAACCATCAGAAGCGGACGTCAATTAATTAAACATCTCGGTTTAAGAGAATGCTTTAATTCTTCTAAGGTTCAATCTTCTAATTGATTTTCCTCCCTCTTCTCCATTTTAGGGGTGTGTGAAAACAACTTCTGACTCGAGTCATGTCGATGATCAGCACATGCAATCAATTGGCTCTCTGGCCAGGAGAGTCACAGATTTTAGAAAACAAAAACCACAGAAACAGTAACAAAAGATGACTGACCTTTGCCCTGCGTTTGGTGGACTGCGATGGCGATTAAACCCATTTCCTGTGGCATCTCAAACATCAACCTGCAAATGGTGGGAAAGACCAGTCAGCCAGAACAGTGACACGACATGAGAACTGAGAGCTGAAAGTGGGGGACACTGTTTGCACTCATTTGTGAATGTGTTAGTAAGGAAGAGCCATCTTACGGGTTTCAAGGGATACTGACCCCATTCCCAGCCTCTGTAGTGAGAATGATGGAAAAGGGACAAAGAAAACGCCATTTAATATAAAAAAAGATGGTTTGGGGGGGGCAGTGTGTGTGCACGTGTACCTGCCCAAGCTGTCATTAGGTTTATTCAAGACATTGTTAGATTACATTTCCTTGGAATATCCTATCAAATTCTTTCTTCCCCTGCTGATGTGGTGTCCCTTCTTCGAATGACAACTAGCAATTCCTGACATTTGTTTCTACTTACAGTGCGTTTCTGTCTGAACACTAGAACATAATCATAACAGAAGTTTCTGATTATTCAGAAAACTAATATGGTGGCAATAAAACTGTTTAAAATACACACTATCCCCTGAGAACTAATTATGTTTTAACTATAGTAAATAAATCTACACCTTCTGAGAACTCAGGAGAACCTTGGATCCTTTTAGGCTTCAGTTCTGCTTTTAAAATGGTTTTATTTAAAAGAATACAAACTTCCCTTTGGGGGATAGTTAGAAAAGCGCACTATATCTCCACCAAATGAGTTGACATTAACTTTTTTTTCTTTTCTCTTTTTTCCCCAGAAAAGGAAAGGGGAAAAAATCCCTCACTCTGAGAATTTCCTCCCAGTTCCATTCTACACATTTAACTCCACGTTAGGAAGGTTTTCCTGTGCCTTCCCAGGAGTTGCTGACCAGGTACTGAGCAGGCATAGTTCACCGTCGGGTTTATCAGACAAAGCGAAACATCAGGTTTGTCCACGGTCAGTGCCGCTGCAGAGGCCTCTTTGAAATACTTTTCTGGGGGAGGGAAGTGGCAAGGGCAGGAATGACAGCGAGGTGGTATTTTGCACAAACAAAGTTTCCACGAACGATTCCAGGGTTTCCACAGCACCCCCGTGCTGAGGAGAGGGACCACGCTCTGATAGCCCTTCATCCTCTCCTCCCGGCTCAGGGTATGGGGTGGAACTTTACACATGGTAAGAAACAGAAAATACTTAAAGGCCAAAACAACCAGGGGGTCTCTGCGCACGCACGCGGGCTGGCAGAGCCTCGCAGGGCGCAGGCAGGCCCGGTGGGGAGGAGCCAGAAGCCCCCTTGACTTGCTAAGAAGAGCCTGGCCGCATCAGGCAGGGGCTGGGCTGGTCTGACAGCCACGGGGCATTCCCAGCGAGCAGCCAGCCCCCCTGTCTGGGTGCCAAGCCCACTTCCATCTCACATGAAATACAGCTCCAGAAGTATTTCTCTTGGACACCATGAATAACCCATTGAGATCGACTCTGCCTATACACCGTTGGGCTCCAAGAATAAAGCGTCCTTTTCTTGCGTCGGAGCGGCAGAAAACCCTAAGAAGGAATCTTGATCTGCGCAGGGAGGTAACGTTGTCTCCCAGGAGCCTCTTGCTTCCCAGAGAGACCCAGCAGCCCTTCACCTGGGCTCCTACAGCGCGAGCTCTGGGGCGAGGACGTCTAACACATTTTTCTGTGGGACGGGGCGCGGGGGATGATTCTGCACGTGTGAGCAGATTGTGAAGGCTTTCTCCATGGCAGAAATCTAGGATGCTCTGTAAATGAACATGCAGACAGTAGAAGGTCATGTCTCTAGGAAGCGGTGGTGATGGTGGAATTAGGCGAGGGGAGGCGGGGAGGTTCAGAAACCAAGCACAGCCTTTTCTAGAACAAAGAGAAATGATGAAGGGAACATATGCACTAAACTGCTGGAGCGCTGGCAGCAGTTAACAGGGCAATTGATGAGAAGACTGAGCTTGTGCTGCTGAAGGCCAAGAGGAAATTCTGCGAGGAGGGAGACAATGGGGGGGCGGGGGACTGGGGGTGGTGTAATGCTTAGTTTGAGGCCAGTGGAGGCCGCCAGATTTATTTGTGCTATCTAAGATAACTCTGGGGGCCAAACCACACGGCTCACGGTCAACAAAGAAGTATTTATGAACGTTTGCAAAATCTCAATTTTGCATCTCTGAAGACGAAGTCTCTAGGTTACTTCAGCAGAAAGGAGACACCATAAATGCATTTCCATCCCTAGTTGATGTCATTCTCACAAAAGGAAATAGAAAAAGGAGGGGAAAAAAAGAATAAAAAGAAAAGGAGGGGGTTACATAATGACTACCTCCCTGCCTCTGTGCTTTTTCTCCTTGTTGGCAAAGGCTGCTTAATAAATGGTTTCTGTGAGTGGCAGCAGAGGGCATGCACTGTATACCAACAGGGCACGCGAGGAAAGTGCTCTGTTTTTGTACACTTCCCTTTGGTCTGAAACATCCAGAGCTCCCAAGGCTCACTTGGCAAACAGGGACAGCGTCCTGACCACTTTGTTACTAAGGACATCACAGTTCCTACTGGGTTCCCTGCCAACCGGAACGTCCTGAATTTCACGTTGTTGTTGGAATTAAGTTTCAATAATTAAAACTAACCAAGAGACTTCCCTGGAAGTGCAGTGTTTAAGAATCTGCCTGCCAATGCAGGGCACACAGGTTCGAGCCCTGGTCTGGGTAGATCCCACATGCCGTGGAGCAACTAAGCCTGTGCGCCACAACCACTGAGCCTGCGCTCTAGAGCCCGCGAGCCACAACTACTGAGCCCACGTGCCACAACTACTGAAGCCCGTGAGCCTAGAGCCTGTGCTCCGCAACAAGAGAAGCCACCACAATAAGAAGCCCGTGCACTGTAAGGAAGAGTAGCCCCTGCTCGCCGCAACTAGAGAAAGCCCGCGCACAGCAAGAAAGACTCAATGCAGCCCAAAAATAAATAAATAAATAAATAAACTTATTTTTTAAAAAAAACTAACCAAGAAGACAGGCCACTATGAGTTAGTGAAAATTCTGAATGAACAAAAGTTTAAATCCAGACCCAGTCAATCCACTTTGAGGATTCAAACCTAAGGAAATAGCCCACATGCACCACTGTGTTATAAAAGTAAAAAACTGGAAATTACGTAAGAGTTCAGTAGGGAAATGGTTACGTAAATTACATTACATGAGGTCAGTGGAATAATTTGTAACCATTAAAAATGATAGTTATGAAGACTACGTAGCAACACGGAAGAAATGCTTTCAATAGAATGTTCAATTTAAAAAGGAGGATACGAAAACTACATATACTTTTATCCCAAATGTGTAAAATTCGCAGAAAAAAGGGAGGAAGGAGATTTGACAAAACAATAACTGTGGCTACATTAGGATGATTTTTTTCTTTATTTTTTTAAACTTTCTTTAAGATGACTGCTTACCTTTAATTTTAAAATACTTTTGAAAAATTTGGGGGAAAGAAGCATGGTTTTTATGTTTAAATATAATATTTGTAAACATTTCAATGAATAGGACTGAAAGATCTGCTTTAAAAATAAGATAATAACAGTCACCTTCAGCACACATTTTATTATAACCAATGAGCAAGACCTTATCTGATAAGTAATTAATGAGCAGAAACTCTTAAAGCCAGTCTGTTCATATGCAATGGGAGCCTTAAACGTTTTACACCTTCTGACTCAGTGACTATACTCCTAAGATTGAATTCTAAGGAGTATTCAGACAGGGAAACAAAATAATTCAGGGACACAACTATTCATCACAGCATTACACAGTGAAAAAAATCATAAATAGTACAAACTGTCCAAGACAGAGGAAAGAAAAAAAAATCATAGTATCCCACATGAAAAAACATCATATAGCCATCAGTGATACAGGCAAATGTCCACTGAACACCACTAGATGACTTCAAGAGGGTAGAAAATCCTATATACAGCATGATTCCAATGATGCTTTAACATATACTTTTAAAAATTGTTAGGAAATATACCAAAATATTAGCTGTGGTTACTTTAAGGAGTGTAATTATTGGAAAAATACAGCAAACTACAAAGCAGAAAAGTCATCCAAAGAAGTCCTTCTTCTCCTTAGACATGGATGTTCTTCTATACTTTTTCCCCTTAAAAAATACTACACACACACACGATATATTTTACAAAAAAAGTTCCTGATGACTGGAAAAATTGCTTATTTTGGAACTCTTAAAATAATGTAGATATTTAGTTATGGACACATTTTTATTACGTTGATAATAAAAAAGGCTTAAAAATAGCATCATGGTATGATCCCATCTATGTAAACTATGTATTCCTACGTGCATATATAGAAGAACACAGGACACCTATTAACAGTGGTTATCTCCAGAAAGTGGAAGCAGAATTATATGATGATTTAAATTTCTTCATTATGCTATTCTAAGTAATCTCTGGGTGGTAAGATTTCAAGTGTTTATTTTCTTTATACTTTTCTGAATTTTCCACTATTTCCATATTTGGAGTGCATTCATTTTAAAATCAGGAAAAATGCTCTTAAAGAAAAGATTTATTAAAATCCAACTTTTCTTTAACCTACAGCTCACTAGCTGGTGAACAACCTCCTCCTTTCTGAGAGATTGCAGATCTGCAACGCAAGAGCAGCCCACTGTCCGAGCGTTACCAGGCTCACTGTACGAATCCTCCTGTAATGCACGAATGGCGATGCCTGTCCCTCACACTCATTCCCTGGTGGAGCATGTGGCTTGTGTGAGGTGGCAGGCTGAGTCCAGTTACCTTCCATGCACAGGCTCCCTCAGAGCTGGGGAGATGGCATGCAGAAGGCTGCCAGCATCCTTGGGGGTCTCCACCCTGGGAGCCCTGAGGAGCTTCATCAACTCACGCTGGTGCCTGTGCTGTGCCCTGTCTTCTCCCCTCAGTCTTCTCAGTTGAGACTCTCCCTCTCCCAAGCCTTCAGAAAGACATTCTCAGAGAAGCCCCCACCCCTCCATGTTTTCTATGTGAAAAAAAGACCCAATACGGGGGGTAGGGATGAGGCGGAAGGAGAACAGGACCCAGGCAG